AAAACTAACCCGAGATCTTTAACGAACTTATTCGTTTGATTAATTAACATATTAATTAATCCTAGCCTTAGATAAATAATTAAACCATTTAATTATTCTTACTCATCTCCGTTGTTTCTTCAAACTCTACCTTACTCGGTGAACGATCCATTAGGTTCCTTTTAACGAGGCAGTGGGCGATTAAAACTCTTTCTAATCGATTGTGAATTGAAACTTACTTTCAATTCTCCCGTTAGTGATAATACACTTTTAGGGCTTCCACAAACCATGGTTGACGCCTAGCAACATGTCATGGTTACCCAAGCTAATCAGAAGAGGTGGATAACCTATTCAGTTTAGGATTACAAATGCAATACGGTCTTTCTCTAATACAATACTCTTGACCACATTGTTTGGTTTGATAGTTTATTCATGTCTACTATCCAATGTGAATCTTGTAGTTATATGATTACCTTGAATGTGATCTGGAATGCATTCCAACATCTCATTCATACTCTGGCCAGAGATTCTAAATCATATCATAAAGTATTCTCCCTCAAATAGTTTGAAGGTTAGAGATCCCTTGTTGCGCATTCACTTGTCTCCATGGCTAAGTGGCTTAACCCCAACGATGCCATGGACACCCTCATGATGGAGTGACTTTGACATAATCAAAGATTAAGGACCTAACCACAAGACAACTGTGATGCCTCAGGTCAAAAGACTAATTTGCATTATCCCAACCATGAGTTCTCATGTGACATGAATATGAAAACTCTTTGTTGATCGTGTTCAGTGAACTCATTCTCTATTGAGCACCTACGTACTTGTCTTGATGTCACACACACCAATGACTCGAGACTAGTCACTCTCCCTGAGAGAAGACATATCACGTACTGATCTTAACGGACTGTTAATGTCTAATTGACAATCCTATGATCAGGAACGTTTAGGATGTGTCAACGAAAGAATGGTCTCATGAATCTAACTTCTTTAGATCGCATTCTTCCAATCACATATTCCTTGGACTTATCGTTTAAGCATATAACATTTATATGAGACGGCTCAAACAATAATGTTTGCCCTTAATATTAAACTAGATTAGTTTAACATGTGAAATGTCCATAAAGTATCATCATATGATTGGTTTTAGGGCACATTTCCAACACTTACTTGTATTTTGCTTTGCCACTTATTTCTCATATAAAGTTCGTTTACTTTAGAGAAGTTTTTCGGATTAAGATCCCCAATGAACAAGAGAAAGAACAAAGAAGAATTCATATTACGACAGAAAAGTTTGAAATTATAGAAGGGACAAGCCCTTTCTCATAACTAGACAAAACCTCAAAAGCTAATCTCCCTTTGTGATTTCCTTCCCTTTAAACAAGACGGAAAACTCTACAGGAGCATTAGATGCTGGATCATCTTTGGGTCAGATTATTCTTGCTTCACCTCTAAGTCCGAGATCTTATTGAGCATATGTTGTGGAGGAGGAACATCCATGTGCTTAATCTCGTCATAAATCTTGTAGAAATCAGAACTTTTAGGGTGATCTCATTGGGCTAACTAGTAAGATACCCATGGTCATATCCCTCTTTGTACTCTTCCACGAGCAATATCTTATGGTCATCTTGGAGCATCGACATTTAAGAGAAATACCTGTTGGTAAGTTACTAGAAATCCGTGATACGCTTATTCTTTCTTTGGTCAGTTTCCTGTCAAAACTGCTTAACCTCTAAACGAAGAGCCTTTTGCTCTGTTGCCCAAACACCTCGCTCGAAAGCCAACACACCCTCCGATTCCTCTTTCAAGATAGCGAGAGCTTGACCCACCCTTACCTTGGCTTGTCTCTCCAGCCTCAGCTCCTCTCTTGTCCTTGCGAGCTCTTTCTAATAATCCTTATCTTTAATTCCTTGATTGCAACAACGTCGACATATCGATGTATCTTTGCTTCATGAGCATCTTTCAAACTTGTTCATGTTCTTATGCTCCTTCGACTGGGATAGCAATTGTTGTTTTGCCTTCACTCTCGCTGCAGTTTCTAGACCAATGATCCATTCAAGTTCTCAAATCTGTTTCGCTTGTCGAAATAGGGCCATCTCCGTCCACTAGTTAGCCTGATATACAAAAATTATGAATGAAGATAATCTCAACAACACATGTTAGCAAAAAGAAAAAATAGAAAGGAAAGTTACCTCATAACAGCTTCTATAGCATCGCATCAGGATTTCTTCAAGAGGCGTACAAGCTTTTTTGTAGTCGGCATAGGCAATTGTAGCTCCAAGGAGAGCACGAACGAAGTCAGTATATAGAAGTTCGTTGGTATCACTAGGAATGGCAATATGGCCAACCGAAGGCCGAATCACAAGAGGAGGACGCATTGTTTCTTCAAATCGTGTTGAAACAATTGGCAGATGGTTCTTTCAAGAAGAGCAGAGACTAATACATAAGAATGAATGGTAACTTTGATTAACAAAGAATAAGGAGCCTGTAAAAATGTCAAATAAGCAATTCAGGCTTAAGCTTGAGTGATGGAGGCAATTCTGGTCTGAAAGGTAGAGAAGATGAAGCTAACGGTTTGCTCACCAAAGAAAATAAGGCAGGCATCCTTGAGATTGGGGAAGCAAGAGGAGCGGTGCGCCTCTTTCTCCTAAGAGGGGCCTCTTCCTCCTCCCCAAGACCTTCAAACATGGCATTTCTAATTAGCAATTGAGGTTATGGAGAGACAACCAATGGTTATGAAGATGAGTTGCTGGATTGCTTCCCACTTTTTCAAATAAGAAAATGAAGCAGCCTATGACTTGGAAGAATGGATATTTTTCTGGGCAATTCGGGCTTTGACTTACTTTGGCTCTATTATAAAGAGTTTTGAACAATAGTTGATGGGCAGATCCTTTCCATAGTTAATAAAGTGTCCAGACAAGAGAAGTCACTTCCAATTACGATGCAAGATAAGAATTTGCATTGCTTAGTGAATCAGTTCCAAACAACATACGTCGATTATGGAACAAAATTTGCACACCTCTATGAGCGGTGGTTAAGCGCAAATCCTGGTGAATGGAAGCAACTTGTAAAACATAAGATATCATTGTCATAGAAGCGACCCACTTCTACTCTCACATGGGTGACCAGTGATTAAGAATATTCTGCAATATTCCTTTTATTAGTTGATAAATTATCATTGTCATTAAGTAATATAAATATACACCTTAAAACTTCTGTAGACAACACATTTCTTCCATCACATGAATGAGTATATAGTGTGTTAACTTTTTTTAATCATGCCCACCAGTTTGCCTATTGAACTTAGGCCATCGGATCTCTAATCATCGGTTTTCGCCTGACTAATTCATTGGTTACGTTGGCTCACTAGTACAAAAACATACTTACGTGATGGGACTTTGCACTATGGAGCAAATTACGTTGTGCAAGGACATTTTGCCCAACATTGACAACAAATCGTCACGCAAGGACATTTTGCACAACGAGACTTTACGCGACAAAGGTAGTCATCCTATAAAATTATTTTAAAAGACGAAAGTTCACATTCGTCGTGCAAAACTGTTTTGCGCGACGGCTACCTTCATTGAGCTCAATCTCTGGCGAGTATTGTTTGGTCTGGAGTGCAATGCATCTTTTTGGGTGATGAAGTCTTTCTGTCGCACAAAATTGTTTTGCACAATAAAGGTGAACCATCATCGCACAAAATAGTTTTGCGCGACAACAGTCTTCGTCGCACAAAGTCAACGACTTTTTCCACATCACTGAAGCAGTTTGGGAAGCAGAAAATGCAAACCCAGTTGCAGTAGGTTTTGGGCGTGTCTCCTTCTGGGCGAATATAATGTGACCTTTTAAAAGTTTAGTTTAATAACATTTCTGCAGGTAGACAACTTTAATCACCTTTTGTAGACCTTAATGAATGGTTCCAAAACGAAATTACTTCTTCCTTAAGATTTTGTGGTATCCACTAGTGTAAATACTTTAAATTGAAGATCGAATTCGTTCATTGTATTCATATAAGGTTAAGGAGTGTAGCTGTAAAAAATCATCAAAATTGGAGTTAAAACTACCATTAAATCATGATTTTTCATTTATAACCATCGAAAATTTTTGTCTTGTTACTTGATCTCTGAATGTTTGTTTTTCATGATTTTTGGTGTATGCAATCTCGAAGTATATACAAACAAGTTTGACGTTTGGATCGTTGAAACTAGTTTCGTAGAATGTGTATCCCATCAAAACAATAGATTCACTAACACTTAAGAGTTTATTTATACTTTCATTAAGTATAACATAAGATTTTATGGTAGCCACTAGTATAAATATTTTAAATTGATGATCAAGTTTATTCATTGTATTCATATAGGGTCAAGGAGTGTAAATGTAAAAAATCATCAAAATCATAGTTAAAATAACTGCTACATTGTGATTTTTCGTTTATAACCGTTGAAAAGTTTTGTCCCATTACTTGATCTTTGAATGTTTTTTTTGTTTTTTGTTTTTTGTTTTTTTTTTTTTTGCGATTTTTGGCATATATGATCTCGAAGTATATAAAACAAGTTTGACGGTTGGATCGTTGAAACTAATTTCGGTGAATGCGTATCCCATCAAGTTGAATGGTGTGTGTATATATATATATATATATATATATTAAGTAGCTTTAAATTTATTTATTTTGTACGTATAATACTTAATAAATTGAATAGTATGTATATTTATTAAGTAGCTTTAAATTTAATATTGTAGTTCGGATTGGGCTTTTGTTAGAAAAATGTATTATTGTGGGTTTTATGTAAAAAAAAATTTGAATTTGAAGGGAGTAAAGTCACATTTTCAGTAGATATTATAATAATTTTTTTTTTAAAAAAAAAACATAACTTGCGCGACGCCACAATGGGATCATTGCGCAAAATCACTTTGCGCCGCAACGTCATAATGTGTACCTGTGTCACGCAAGTTGTTAAATTTGTGGCTGTCTAATTGGAAAAAATAGGCGCTTATTTTGAATTTTCCCAAATTATTCTGGACAAAATGGAAAATAGTCCCTCATCCTCATCTGACTACCTGATCTCACCCTCTCTCTCACTCCGTCTCGCGTAGCCTTCGTCCTCACTGCACCCAGCCAGCCTTCTCCGCATCCTCTCTCATAGCCTTCTTTATCGCATTTCGATCAGCCTTCAAGCCCCAATAGCTCTCCCACTATGACGAGGACTCCGATTCTAATTGCGTCGAGATTAAACATGAACTGGAGGACGACGGCTTCGATTGCATCATTATTAGAATGAATTGGAGGACGACAACGCCGGTGAGGTCCAGGAGACCAGGTCGGTCAATTGTGGACGTCGTTTTGTGGTCGTGGACGAGGGTAGCAATGGGGATTGGGCTAATATTATGTCAACGAGTGAGGATGAGGAGGTAGAAGAGTTGGAGGACGACGATATAATTGGGAAGGCTTTGCAGAAGTGTGCCAAGATATCAGTGGATTTGAGAAAGAAGCTCCAAGGGAGTTCGGCTCTGGCAGTTTCTGATTGGTACACCGAAGTGGAAGCTGCCTCTGTGAAGATTGTCAATCAGGTGCATTTTCTTACTTTTACTGAGCTTTTTATGGTATGAATGACATGGAGTTGGAAAGCTCTTACCTTTACTAATTCATAATTGGGCTAAAAAATTTGGTATTCCTTTGTTTCCATTGTAATTAGTGAAATAAGGAAAATTATAGGCCAATAGAATGTAGCTGTATAAAAGTATGGTTCTTTTATGTCATGAGTATTACTTACGTGAAGGTTTTGTATTTCTTTTCAGTATGTGTTGAGAGGTCTTCATAAGCATAAAATTGGCTATTTTTTCTGTTGTTGTTGCTGGTGTTGTATCGTCTTTCAATTGGATTGGCAAGTGATGGTTACTGGTTATTTGTTGTAAGATGACATTATTGAGGCTTCTAGGTCTGAAGATTCCGATTTTCAACCTATTCTTAAGCCATATCAGTGGATTGGTGTTAACTTTCTTCTTCTGCTGTATTAGAAGGGTATTAGTGGAGGTACTTATTTTTTTGGGAAAGGGATCCTCGCCAGATCTCTTCCACCTAAGCTTCATGACCACAAATCTGGACCTTGAAATTTGATCAAACGACTACAAACAGGGGGCCTCATTAAAAGTTATAATAACTTTAGCTGTTGGATCAAATTTCAAGGGACCGGATTTGTGGGTCATGAGCATTAGATGGAAGGGATCCGGAGAGGATCCCTTTCTAATTTTTTGTTCTATGTAAGCATAATTTTAATTTTACTTCTACTTTAGAAAGTAATTCCCTGTGTAAAAATGTATGACTGTGATAAATTGATTCTCTAGACTTTGAGTAGTATTGATTCTCTAGACTTTGAGTAGTACAAGATCTTAAACTGTGTGACTAATAAATTCAGATCGCCGAATGGAATTTCATTAGTCATTTTACTACTGCATGATTCTGAAATGTTAAGCTTAAATGCTCTTAGATCACAATAGCTCAAAATTTTCCAATTGTATTGTTAAATTTATGAGGCTAAGTGTATAAGCATATATGGCTTGGTTTAATCTTAATTCTGAATCATTACAGTTTAATATCCTTTATATTTGTGCAGCCATTTTGGTCGACGAGATGGGTCTTGGGAAGACCATTCAGGTACCTGCATGTCCTTTTTCTTTGCATATGCCAATAATATTTTTAGCTTTGGTTTGTAATATTTGTCCTTGTTGAACAGGCTATAACATACTTGATGCTATTGAAACATTTAAATGATGACCTGGGTCCACATTTGATTGTATGCCCTGCTTCCTGTTTTGGAAATTAGGAAAGAGAACTTAAAAAGTAGTGCCCATCATTCATTGTTCTCCAATATCATAGGGCTGCACAATCGGCATATTCAAAAGAGTTGAACTCTTTGTCCAAAACTGGATTATCGCCTCCTTTTAATGTTATTCTCGTGTGTTACTCACTATTTGAAAGACATAGGTTTGCTTTGGTGTTGCATATGGAAAATTGATAGTAATTTTGATTTCATGTTAATTTAATTCCTTCTACTTATGGTCTTCTAGTGCACAGCAGAAAATGATCGTAAAATTCTGAAACGATGACAGTGGAGTTGTGTGCTTATGGACGAGGCTCATGCTTTGAAGGACAAAAAATAGCTACAAGTGGAAAAACCTAATGTCCGCTCCATTTTTCACCTTCTTCCTTCATCCATGCTTCACCTTTTTATTTTAAAAAAATTTGGACCAAAAAAAACCCAGGATTTTTATTTTATTTTATTTTTTTTGTGCAGCAGCAAAGGAGGCCCTGACAACAAGAAGTTCAGGTACCGCGGCGTGCATCAACAGAGCAAGGGAAAATGGGTAGCTGAGATCCGTGAGCCTCGTAAGTGCACTTGCAAGTGGTTGGGGACCTTCGCCACTGCCGAGGATGCTGCCTGCGCCTACGACCTGGCCGCCATCATCCTTTACGCTTCCAGGGCACAGCTCAACCTCCAGCCTTCCGGTTCCTCGTCCTAGAACTCCACGCGTGGCTCCTCGTCTTCCTCTTTATCATCCAGCTCATCCACCCAAACCCTAAGACCCCTTCTCCCTAGCCCCTATGGCTTCGACCTTACTTTTTTTTTTTTTTTTTTTTTTAAGTTTTAAATTGGAGATTGCAGTTGGCTAGAGAGAGAGAGAGAGAGAGGAAAGAGAGGATGGTGGAGGAAGGTTGGGGGGACAGGTGGGGAAGGGTTTGGTGGCTCGGAGGAGGAGGATTTGGTGCATAAGAGGTGGTTGAGAGATGGGTTCAGATTAGGAAGAAAAAAGAGAGAAAGGGAGAGAATTGTAGATGGTGGGTCCCATATGTATTTTGATTCTTGGGTGAGTTTAGAGGATTGGGTTTGGGGCAAACTGGGGTTTTCTGTTTGAAATTGGAGAATTAGGGTTAGGGTTTGGGTTGAAGATCTTCGAAAGGGAGGGGGTTCTGGAACAGAAAGAGGGACAAAGGTAGGGGACGGGAAAAGGTGGGTGTTGGGGTGAGTGTTGTTGGGGGTTGCGGGGGAGAATTGCAGAGGAATAAAAGGGATGGGGTTCTCGGATGTTTGGAACGGATCAGGAAGAAAAAGGGGAGATAATTATAGGGGTGGGTCCCACATTTTTAAAATAAAAATATTAAAATAATTTAATTTAATTTTATTAATATTTAATTAATATTTTTATCTACTTGGCGAGGAAATGAGTCTCGTCTCAAACCATATCAGCACTTAATAGAGAAATTAATAGAAAAACTGATAGAGGTCTAACATTGGACCAAATTCGTAAGATGAGGTATGACATTATCAATTTTAAAATATAAGGTACGATAATGTCGTGAGACCAATAATTAAGGTAGTTTTTTGTCATTTACACTAATTATAATATATAATTTCCAACAAAACTTAGGTTAGTTTTTGTGTGACTTAACATTGTTTAGTGCATATACATCTCATATGGAAGCCCTTACATTTGCCTCCCATAAATCCCTCTTCTTTGCATGTAGCTGCACAATTGCTTGAAAAAATAAACCTAAAGCAAAGACCGTGGTACTTATGGCTCGGACACTCACAAGTCGACGAATTCTTATCCTTCGACGACATCTGTTCTGTCTTTCCCTCAGCTACCATGGGCCCCGTTCCTGCCAAACATGCATCAATTCATCAACCCATAAAAATCATGGTTTTCTATTTCATTAACTGGAGAAGGAGTATCCTAACTTAGAACTTCTTTCAACATAATTAAATTTTATGTTAGTGTTAGGTACAACGAGGAAGTAAAGATGAGAAAAGAGAAAGATACCAATAGCCACCAGAAGGAGGACGAGGATGAAGACAGTCGAACATAAATGTCCGGAACGCTCCATCTTGAAACAAATGAATTAAAAAGAGAGTTGTTGATTCAAAGAATTAATCTTGAAGGAATTTATATAGAGTTGGTATGAACAAATTTAAGTGTATGATTTGTAAAACTCGTTCTGTTTTAAAAATAGAGAGCTTAGGTGAAATTTTAGCTTAGAGAGGCAAGAACAAAACACTATTTTGGCTTATCAATTTTTGGGATCCAACATTTGAGGAGAGACAGGTGGCTCAATTTCTCCTCAAATTAAAGTATTGCAATTTTAGGTTAGTGCCTATTCCTATGCATCACCCTAGTCAACCTTACCACCTAGAATAATATTAGGGGTGGAAAACATTCCCGAAAATCCTGAACTTAAACCAAAATTTCCTAAACCGAAATTCCTGAAATTTTCGAAATGCTATCCTGAACCGATCTTGAATTTTGGTACGGGATTTGGAATTGACTTCTCAATATTTCCGGGAATCCCATACTAAACCGAGAATATATATTATTAATTATATATATATATATATCATATATATATTTATCCATATATATATATATATATATTATTATTTTAATTATATTTAGAGTCAATTTCAACTATTGGATTGTTTCAAATTGATCTGTGTCGTCCATTCATTGTTAGGGTTCCAGCCTTCTCTGAGTTCTCTCCATTCACCCTCCCTGCTTCAGCCACCGAGCCCTCTCCTGTCTGTCTCGAATTTGAAGCTCAACTCTGGCTAGTCCCACTCACTGACCTACCACCTGCACCCTCCCTCCCTCAGCCACCTAGCCATCTCCTCTCCTGAGAGTCTTCTTCATCCAATGCACTGTGCACCGATTCTCCCCCAAATCAGGTAAAATTTTAGAATTAATTTAAGGTTTGAAATTTAATTTAGGGTCCTAAGTCTAGATTAGGGTTTGTGAAATTTGCTCATGTTTTGGATTGGATGTTCATGATTCCAGCCGTAATTTAATTTCTATATTTATGTTTACCATTAGGTTAGGCGATCTTTTTGGATGATAAGATGCATTGGTAAGGAATTAGGATCGGAAACCCTATGAATTGCACTAGTGTTGCCATCCATATGATTTTTCTTCATTCCTCCATTGTAGATATGCACTATAATTCTACTGCTAGATAATTAACAAATATAAAGGGAAAAAACCATCGAAACAATTTTCAGAATTTATGCAGAAAAACCATATAAAAACATGAAAACCAGAAAATCTTTGTGTACATATGGAAATCTAACTTACCTACGATGTGGGGTTGTATATCTTGAGTCGTTCCCATGTCAGAAGTGTAATCTTAAACTGATATACCAGAGAGAGGGAGAGAGAGGAAGAGGAGGAGGAAGAATAAGCAGAGCTCTTGAGTAATATGAAAAACATTACATGTAGATGGAATTCTACAGTATCCAACTGTGTTATAAATTCATACAATGTCTTGTTTTCTTCTCCTGCTACTTATCTCTCTCAATCTTGCTTTTTTAATAGGATTTAGAGAAAGCTATTGCAGATTCATATCCCAACTCTATAAAGAAATTTGAGCCTATTATTAAGAAGATAAGTGACGCAAATCCTTGATGCTATTATTCGAGTAACATTAAGTGATATTATATCTTCTCATTCAATTTTGACATCAGATTGCAAATTATCAAGCTCCAGGGAGATACGTTTTGAAATAAGGAGTGGAGTTAGAAAGCTCAAAGAAACCTTTGTCTAAAAGTGGAAGGTAATTTACTTTTTTCCCAAAGGCTTAGTCTGCATGATCAAGTCAATTAGTGGCAAACTTGTTTTCTTGTTATTCTTTGTCTTTTAACTTGTACCGATATTGGTCCTCAAGAAATAGATGACTTAACACAATAATAAACCAAAATAGATGACTTCACCAGTCTAAATTACCACAAGTCAAGATTCCAGCCCTAGTTGCAGAGCTTAAGCATCACTTGTAGCTGCACAAGTCTAAATGAAGGGGTTTAGCTGCATCAGATGTATATTTGTTGGATGGTGCAATGCACCGTGTTGGAGTTTTTGAGCTCCTTAAGTCCCACACTGGGGAACTAAAGGGAACTTGAGGTCCTTATATTAAGTTAGTCACCTTTATTAGTAATTAGGTTTTGGACTATTTGGAATGAGGATTGAGGTTTGGGCCACTAGTTGTGTGGATTAGGCTTGATGATTATACCATAATATTAATTAATCAAGACAAGGGCCTTGGGCATTGGGGCACTTAGGGCCTAAGAATTAAAATTAATTAGATCATTAATTTTAAATTCGAATTAAGTTTTTTAAGTAAAATTAATTAAAAACGTTTCATGTAGCTTTAGATACATCCAAAAGGTATTTGAAGAGGTATGAAAGAGCCTATATAACTGGAGTTTCAATTCCATCGTAGATTATCTTTTCTTCCTTCTTCACTTCCATACAAATTTTCCAGAAAGTAAACTCATAAAGCAAATTCGCTAGAATTCTATAATCCAGTGCGGGTTAGGGAAAGGTTCAAAAAACCGAAAACCGAACCGAACCGAAAAAAAAAATGATATATAAATACTAAAAAAACATGTTGGCGTCAGGGTTTTAACCCCTTCCTTGCAGGTTGGGGTTAGTCGTTGCAAGCCAACTTGACTGTAGGCTTTGTGTCATTATAATTGTACCAGTAAATTATTGATAGGTTTCTTATGTTTAATGCTTTATAAAATTTCCTAACTTTACAAACCCTAACCGTCTCACTCCCATTTCATTTCAGATCTCAAACACTTCTTTCTGCTCCGTCTGCTGCTTCCTCTATGCCTTTGCTTTCTCAGTCTCTCACTCTCTCTCTCTTTCTCTCTCTCCTTCCTCTCTTTCTCCAAATCATTCTCTCTCCAGTCTTCTCTTGTCCTCCTCGCGGATTCCTTTTTCCAAACCATGATTTTCCCTCGCCCCTTTTGAGACCTGACGAGACTCGACGAAAAGAGGAATTGTAAGAGCTTGCAACGATCATGGCGATATCACCACATCAAAGGTTGTGGGCTTTATTTATTTGTCAGTTCATGGATTTTTAATTTTATGGTTACCTATTTGAAATTTATGTAATTTAAGGTGAAAAAGTTTGTATTTTTCTCTGAATATCTTTTGGAATTTTCCAGATCGATTGTGGACTTGACTATGAATTTGAATGTGAGCACTGGGCATGCAATACTGGAGTCCGATTATGCCATTTAGACAAACCCATTTGCTTTTTTTTTTTTTTTTTTTTTTTTGTTTCGATCTACATCAATCAATTAATTTGTTGAATTATTTCATGATTTTGTAAATTTTAAAGTTTAGAATTTTGAATCCTGGCGATCTACATTATGTTTCTATGATATATGAGAACTGGGAGGTTGACAGGTAGGTTCCTTCCATTTACATCATTTAAAAAAATAAAAAAATAAAAAAATCGAAAAAACCGAAACTGAAAAAAATCGAACCGAAAAAAATGAACCGAACCGAAATTTCAGTTTGGTCTCAATTTTGGCAAGAAACCGAATCGTTTTGAACCGAACCCAGCCCTAATGTGGGTTGTAGAATTAGGTAGTTGTATCCTGGTCGAGCAGACGTTGTAGAACCGCAAGCATAAGAATGGGATGAAAATATTGTTCGAATGACATAGCTTTTGCGCTAGCCTCTACCTTTGATTCATTCAAGTTAGTATCATTTTAATTTATGTATTTATTTTGTAATTTCATTCTATATTGAAAGTATTTTTGAGTAATAAAGTATAAGTTTTTCAAGTTCTGTATTTCTGTTATTTTTGTTTCTAAATTGTTTTCCAACAATCTTTGAACAGTATGGAACAATCAGGGACTAAACCTCATTCTGAAAAGCCTGAGAAATTTAAGGGTGGAGGTTTCAAAAGATGGTAGCAGAAAATGTTGTTTTATTTGACAACTTTGAATTTGGCTAATGTTCAGCGTGAGAATGTATCTACTGTAGATGGAGAAAATATTTTTTCTGCAAAAACTTTGAGGGCTATAGATACTTGGAATCATAATGATTTTCTCTGCAAAAACTATATTCTTAATGCATTAGATGATTCATTGTATGATGTCTATGTGGTGTGCAAAACAGCCAAAGATCTTTGGGAATCACTTGAGAAAAAAAATATAAAACAGAGGATGCTGGTTCAAAGAAATTTGTCGTGGGCAAATTTTTAGACTTCAAAATGGTGGATTCCAAGTCCGTTGTCTCTCAAACTGAAGATCTCCAGAAAATCATCCATGACATTCATGTAGAAAGGATGGTGATCAATGAGTCTTTTCAAGTGGCGTCTTTTATAGAGAAATTGTCACATTTTTGAAAGGAGTTCAAAAATTATCTCAAGCACAAATGTAAGAAGATGACCTTTGAGGATCTCAATGTAAAGCTGAGAATTGAGGAAGATAACAGAAAGAATGAGAAGGGCCTAGTTTCAAGTGTGGAAGCTAAGGTGAATGTTGTTGAAGAAAGTTCATCAAAGCAAAGACCGAAATTCCAAAAAACTAAGAAGAAGGAAAAGAACTTTGTCCTTGGTGTGAAAGGCAAAAACTTCAAGAAAATTAAGGGAAGTTGCTGGGTTTGTGGAAAGCAAAGCCATAGAGCTTAAGAATGTCACCATCGAAGGGATCAAGGTCTTGGAAATCAAGGCAACAACAATGCGTAAACCTGATTAAAAATAATGTGGATGCCCTGGCTGCAATGATTTCTGAAATCAACCTTGTATCTGACCACGTTGATTGGTGGATAGATACTGGTGCAACTCTCCATGTATGTTGTGACAGAAATATGTTCTCTTCATACCAGAAAGTCGAGGGAAACGAGCAGCTGTTTATGGGAAATGCGTCCACATCTATTGTGGCTGGAATAGGGAAATGTGTTCTGAAATTTACTTCTGGAAATGAATTAACCCTCCTTGATGTGCTGCATGTCCCTGATATAAAGAAGAATCTTTTTTTCTAGTCCTATCCTAGAGAACATGATGATAGTTCATCCTCGTCAAGAGTTCAAGAAGAAGAAGAACTTGAACCTACAAGAAGTAAAAGGACAAAAATTCGAAAAGGCTTGGGCCTGATTTTGTGACCTTATTAACTGAAACCAAACCTCAATCTTTCAAGGAGGCCATGTCCACTCCTGAAG